ATAGCCTATTTCTCTACAGATTGTCACCACACATAATCTCTCGATTCTTTCCCCTCTATCGTTTCCAAATACCGCCCCACAGAGAAGAATTCATCTTCCACGTCAAAGCTTTGGATATTCTCCAGGTACGTCTATCTCTATTTCGTGCTCTTCTGCAATCCTTCCAAAATGCATGTGTCCCCCTAATTTCGAGACTCCCCTAGACACCTGCTAAGAGACAACCATATACTCTCTGACAACTCATCTCCAAAGCTCTCCAACACAATCCATGTCAAGCCAAAATTCCATGGATCATTGGTTTCCTCCCCTCTCTCTCTCTCTCTCTCTCTCTCTCTCTCTCTCTCTCTCTCTCTCTCTCTCTCTCTCTCTCTCTCTCTCTCTCTCTCTCTCTCTCTCTCTCTCTCTCTCTCTCTCTCTCTCTCTTAATCTTTGATTTTCATGGGTAAGGACCTCTTGGTCTTTGAGTTAAAATTATATAATAAAATATTTTTTATGTGATTTTATATGTTTTATGTTTAAGATTTTATGTATAGAGTCATAGAATCTATAGATCTAGGGTCTAGATATAAAACACTAATGGGTTTTCAGTTTTTGAGCCTCGAAGTTTACTAAATGTTTTATTGGTGATCGATTTTCCATAAATAACGAAATGTTTTGTGTAACTAGATCTTCTAGTTATCTTTGATTTCATATATTATAAGTTATGAATTATTTACTAAACCTGTACAGTTTTTGAGTCAGCTAAGAATTTGCTTTTAAACTCAATGTTTTTCTACTTTGATTTATTTGATTCCACTCTGAACAAATTTATAACTTAACAAAATTGTTCTCTACAAACATTTACCGTGTTTCTGATATCATAGATCAATCTACACACTCTTGGAATACCTCAATCATTGAGGATATTTTTTGGCCAGTGGACAGAGGACGCATCTTATCGGTGCCTATTGGTAGTCGTTTGGTGCAAGATTTATGGATTTGGCATTATTCTAGCAACGGCAAATTCACAGTGCGATCCTGTTACCACAACATTCTTTCGGATCAGCATCATTTGGTGGGAGGACGAAGTGGGAGGGAGGCTTCGAGTAGTGGCGAATCTGGTAGGAAGTGGAAGAATATTTGGGCACTCTCTCTCCCTCCAAAGGTTTGTATGTTTGTTTGGAGAGCATGTTCGGAAATCTTGCCTACGGGGGCGGAGCTATTTCGACGGAATATTAATACTTCACCGGTTTGCGATCGATGTGGGAGGGATCGAGAAACCATTATGCATGTGATTCTTGATTGTGGGGGAAGTGGAAAAATCTGGGCTACATTCCCTTTTACAATTAACCCCTCCAAACAATTTCTTTCGATGTGGGGTTGGTTCGACTACATGCAAATGAGCTGCCAGGATGAAACATTTCTCTTAGCTCTTGTGGTGGCTTGGGAACTTTGGAACTGTCGCAACAAAATCTTACATGGGGGGAGGGCATGAAGGAGGATGAACTTGTGTGTTGGAGCAGCAACTTCCTCGAAAGCTTTCGGCAAGCCCCGGTTTACAATGTCTCAAGGAAGCCTACTCATCCAACCCGATGGAGCCCTCCGCCGGAAGGAATGATTAAGGTCAATTTCGACGCGGCCCTTCCTATTAATCAAGATTATTATTCGGTTTCAATGGCCGCCCGGAATTGGAAAGGGGTGCTGATTTGGTGGAGTGTGGAAAAGTTCTCAGGAAGACCATGTGCGGTTGATGGTGAAGCTCATG